ATACCGGCTTCGGAAGTACAGTTTTAACACGTGTAAGAATTTTTCAAAACAAATGTCCACGATCTCATTAGAGCGAATGGCAACCACTCAAAGTATAGGGCACGGTTCACTGAGGACTGAACGAACGGGAGGCTGGCATTTCGGAGTTTAGCCGGTGTGACGTTACAAGTTTGCGCATAATTTATCTTCATAAAAAACAATCAGATTTCATGTATTCGAATGCAGGAAAATTTCTACATTCAAGTACTTTTTGAAATATTTGAAACTTTTTCAAAAAATCGCAGTTTGCATGTGTCAATGCATGTATCAACAAAAACCAACACATTTCATTCATTTGAGATCCTTAAGCTAAATTTTTTGCAGGCTGTTAGTGTATACTTACATTTACTCCATGGTCCTATGAAAATCTGATAACATTCTATAGGGTGTTCGCAATACTGTAACTGTACACAAAACCAGATATTTCAAACAACCATAGCTTTTTTTTTCAAATGAAATACCTTTTATTTCACTGTATAGTAGTAGGTACGTCGATACTGGTGAGCCTATCAATTTACACAATGCCTTCTATGCTTTACTTTATAGAACTTGTCTTTTGTTGAAATTTTATTTTTAAGTGTTTAAAAAAAATCTTTGTCTGGGGGGGGGGGGGTAATTACCCCCTCTACCCCCCCTTTAAACCGCCCTTGATTTAAAGTCCCAGAATGCACGATTAGAAGAGGAAGATGTTACGTAATGATCATTGACCAATCTAATCACAATTCAGTGTAAAATGCTTGTCCTTGGAACCAGTCAAGAGGAGGAACTACGTCACAAGATAAGGTCCAGATCATGGAATCTCATGACGTGTAAATCAATAAGTACCCGATGAAATAAGATCTAAGATTTCAAGAAAATCAGTTCTCTTAGAAAGCTGGAAAGAAAACCAGAAAAAAATCATGAAAAGGTCGAGAAGCCAAGGTGGCAAAACAACGGATACGTGCAAGAAATGCCGAGGAAACTTTTGTCTATGCCAGGCTCTGGATGATTTCTCCTTCTTCTCTCAATTGCTCCTTAGGAAATTAATAATCGAGGAAACTTTCATCTATTTCAGGTTTTTGATTTTTCCTTTTTTTCTCAATTTCTCTTTAAAAAATTAATAATTAGCCTCAGAAGTTTTTCAAATCTTCAAACATTCCTCAGAGTCTTTAGGGCATTTAAAATATCTAGAATATGTCTTTGAAATTCATAGTCTTCATTGTTGTGTCTTCAAAAAATTTCAATTCTTTAGTCTCCAATTCTTTGGAAGCCTTTATTAGTTTTTAGACTTTTTGTGTCTTTAAAATGTATCTTTTTCAATGATGAGCTTTAAAAAGTCTTCAAGGTTGAGTAAGTTATCTTAAAAAATCTTTAGTTAGTTCAGAATCTATGGAATATCAAGAATTATCAAATTTGCAAGCTTTAAAAGTTGAATTTTGGATCTACGAAGGTCGAAAATTATCTTTTTTAAAGGATATTAACAAGAAATTGATTGACAAGTGGGAATAAAAGTATTTGTCTATTCCAGGCTCTTGAATTCTCTCAATTTAGGGAAATTTGAAGAAATTCAAGAGCCCGGAATGGACAAAAATCGAGATGAAAAATGATGAGAATTGGAAGGTGAGAAAAATTTGAGGAGAAATGGGTTGACAAGGGCTTTGTTCCGTTATCAACTGCCAGTACTGGATTTTACTGTGCTGATTTTACTGTCATTTGCCGTTCCAATTTCAACAGCGTACTGTTTCGCTGGAAAAAAAGGTACAGCAGGGAGATTCTGAAATCACGATTCGATATAACACATACCGACCCTGTCGTCTCGGAAGGTATGATTCTATTGAGATTCTAACCTAGGATCGTCGGAAAAAATCGCCTCGTTTTCGAGTCGTGTGTCGAATGGTGATTCCCGTCCAGTAAATAATAATGACGTCACTGGCGCATTCAAAACGTCATTCAGTGGTCATTCAGTACTGAAAATAATATCGGAACGACGTCCCGTAAATTCAGTACTGCCAGTTAATATCGGAACATAGCCAAGTAGAAATATGTACATATAGTGTCAAATTTGTCAAACTATGAATGGTATAAAAATAGTCTATATGCTTTATTTTTTCCCAAGATAGATTTTGACATTGAAAAAAGGTTGACATCAGTTTTATAATAGCGACCAATAAGTGGCATTAGCGGCATTGTTTATGTTTCAAAGTTGACAATGCCAAAATCTATCTTGGAAAAAAATAAACCATAGGAAATTATTATGAGTTATTTTTGTCCCAGATACTTTTCGTGACGATGGTACATATTTTCTTTATTCCAGGAGGGCTCATGAATTCTCTGAATTTGAAGGAAATTCGAAAAAATTTAAAAAAGTAGTGCCGTTTTTGTAGACGTAGAGGAGATCATGGATGATTTCCCATGATTTTCCCTGATTTCTTCTGATTACCAGTAAAATTTTCCAAGCATTCTCCTGATAACAAAACCTCAAATTATAAAGATTTTTGAAAACTGCGCATGCGTTAGATCTAGAGATTGACTGATTTCTTTAAGACTTCCCATGGATTTCCTTGAGATTTCCCTTGATTTCCTCGTGATTCCCTTGCCTGATTGCCTTAGATTAACTTGGACTTCCTCTTGATTTCCTTGCACACCAGATTTCCCTTGGAGTTTACCCCTCGGTGGTACACCATCTTGCTGGAAACATATCATGGTTGGGAATAAATCTTTCAAAATTGCGATAAGGTGTGTTGTTGCCAAAAAATCAAATAAACTGTTGTGTGTATTATAATTCCTTCACCAATTATTATACCAGTCATTTATGTATTTAAGGACGTTGAGAATCTCATTTTCATCAGCGTGAACAACCAGCCCCATCAGGAACAGTTGTGTCGATTTAACATACAAAAGTGGATTCATCTGAGAAAAGGATCCATTCTCTTGCATTCCTTTTTTAATCTAGAGTAGAGCATCCATTATTGTTCCACAAGATTGTAGAAAGCAATCAGGAACATCTTCTGTTAAGTTTGTGCATCATGTACGCATTTTATAGGGTTTGAGGTTCGAAATTAAATTAATAGTTATTTATGTATCAAGGGAATTATGAAGCTGTTAATACCCCAGGGCAAAGTTTGTGTCCCGAGGGCCTTCGGCCCGAGGGACACCAATTGCCCGTGGGTATTAACACCTGATAATTCCCGTGGTACATAGAAAATTTTATTTCCTACTGAATTTACTGTATTTTGTCCATTTTTATAAAGGAATAAACCATAAACCAAAAATTCTATTTTTTCTCAAAGTTTCACCTATTCAAGGTAAAAGCGGCAGTTATAGAAATCCTTAACTCCCTTGGGAGTTCAGACCCTGTTTATGATTATCGTAACCAAGGTATTATATGGTTATAATAGTTCAGTAGGAAATAATAGTTATTTATGTATCAAGGGAATTATGAGCGTGTTAATACCCGAGGGAAGGCCCGAGGGACACCAATTGCCCGTGGGTTAATACACCTGATAATTCCCGTGGTACATAGATAATTTTATTTACTACCTACTAAATTTACTGTATTTTGTCCATTTTTATAAAGGAATAAATCTAAACCAAAATTTCTATTTTTTGTCAAAGTTTCACCTATTCAAGGTAAAAGGCGGGAGTTATGGAAATGCTTAACTCCCTTGGGAGTTATGATATCCTTAACTCCCTTGGGAGTTAAGACCCTGTTTATGATTATCGTAACCAAGGTATTATATGGTTATAATAGTTCAGTAGGAAATAAAAAAGTTTATTAAATGTCTGAAAGCGTGAAAGAAAGTTTTGTCGATTTAACCCGGTTCAAAATTTCAAATGTTCCTTGATTAAAAACGCTCACTCAGTAAATGAGATGGTGTTTTAAGAGCTTAGACTCGAATTGTATTTTTACAATTTAACAGAACTAGCGGTAGATCTGGACGATCTGGTACTGAAATGTAAAGATGATTCCGATTTCAATGATCTATTGAAATTGAAAGCAATGAAATATTAATAGATAACCCTAATAGCAGGACATTTTTTTAAAGTCCGTCTAACGTCAAAACGTCCAAGAACTAAAATAAAACGTTTGTTAACGTCCGAAATATGTTCACCAAACGTCCATAAAGATAATGTTCTGGAACGCTTTGGAAACCTCTATTCTAGGAGTTGTAGGGCGTTTTTGAATGAGTGTTTTCGCAATATCAGAAAGTCCATTGGACGTTCTTGGCTAATTTAAAGGACGTCCAGTGGACTTTCTAGAAGACGTTTGGTCCATTGTCGACGTCTATATGACATTTTCACCAGAGTAAAACGTCTATTATGCGTTCTTGATGGATACTTTGAAGGAAGCCCATAGTGGACATTTAAAGCTTTCTCAAAACGTTCGCATTAAGGCGCTTCTTTTGCTTTTTTCAGAAATACGTTCATTGCACGTTCTCAGTTACTCCAACTGACGTCCGCCCGGATATGTTTTTGAGACGTTTTACAAACGTCTCTGTTCTTTTGTCGGAATCAAGGATCCCCTACACGCGCGACATGGCAGTGTAGGGGATCCTTTAGAGGATGCAAATGTGCTCAGATTCAACCTATTAAAGTGTCCGTGTTAGCAAGTGTCTGGACTCGAAAGTTCAATAGAAAATAGCTGTGATAGTCGAACAACATACTCAAACTTTTTCTTGTTTTTATACTTATTTGAGCTGGACAAAAATGGTAAAAAAGCATATTTCGAGGTAAATTTACAAATTTTAGTCATAAAGGTTATAGTGTTTGGTGACGAGTAAAGAGTCAGTTATTGGCGTCGCGACGCCTGCAATGGCAGAAGCAGCCTCCGGTAGAGCGCTGTGCCGCCGTTTCTGCCTCTGCCAGGGTAGGGCCCCCGTTGCGTCCCCGCCCGGAGTCCCCGCGTCCGCTGGGCGGGGCCTGTCCGTGTCCGGAGCCACGAAAAGTGAGGATCAATTCTACTTATTTAATACAGCTTTCGTATTAGGAGCGTGTATATAGTTAGGAATCCACGCTAAACCGATTTACGTTTAAACTCTCGGTTTTATCTCGCTCTAAGTACCCCGGCTTAACTCGGTATTGTGCTGTTTGACTAAGTGAACAAATAGATGCGAGCAGTGATATATATTGACTTTCGTTAGTGTGCCATCCGGCGATTATCTTCTTATTGTTTATTAACCGACGACTTTTTCATTTCATTTTGGCAAGGTGAGTTCAGGTTTTGTTTAGGTGTGTGTTATGATGTTGTTTACCTCACACCATCCGCCATATTTGTTTGGGTCGTTATAAACACAATTTTGGACGCTAGCAAGATGAAGAACATCAATGTGCGTCGCAGACAACTTCACTTTTTACAATTACCTACCGATAATATTTCAAAATACTTATAGAATAATTTTCTTGTGTACCTGAAAAATACCTATCATTGAACTACATATTTAGAGCCAAATTAAAATTATGCCTCCACACCTACTCATCCAGACATTTCATAAATCTGCTGGACTGATTGTGTGCATGACCATTCCATTCTTGATTTAGAAATTATATCTACTTGAAATGATTTGAAACCGCTTTCCCAGAGGAATCCTAGCATATGTTGTGTTTAGTGTGGCTTTTGCTAGGAGGCCTCATAGATATTTATAATTATATTTTCCAGATTTAAATCTGTCAGGCACAGGAGGGGGGATAAGGCGTGGCTCATCAACTTGAAAAAAACAAGAATGTTTGAATATTCTTCATTTAAAACTTATAGGATTATTAACACAATAAATTTAATCCACTGGATATAGAGAGGCCAAATGCCAATGGGGGAAATAGCAAAACTCAATGACAGATCATAATTAGCAGAGGTATACCCACAAATTTTGACGCTTTGAACATCTATATCAACTGATTCAAAAAATACTTCCAAAACAAACATTAGACTAGCAAAGGAGAATGCCAGAACACTGGAGACTGCGAGGAACCTCCGTAGAATAGGTACTTGAGAAACGACCAGGATAGATGGAGATTAGTAATCAAAAGACATGCGAGCAAACAAAGATCAAAAAGTTGTTTGGTGAAGACTATGGAAGAGCACTCTTGATAGTCCAGCGACCGGCGGTGTCCTTATTGCCTGGTAGAGGGCCTATTTATCATCTTTTCAATCAATTGAAGATGAGGATAAGGAAGTTGATTGGCATTGAGAAGCTAGTGATGATAATATCAATATTAATGGTGATGAGGCAAATAAAGAAAATAAAGAGCTCGCAATCGAAAGAGCTGATGATGATGATGACACCGATGAAGACACTCTTCGATTCCCTATCAACTTTTTACGTTTCCTGCCAATTCCACTTTCGCATATAACTTTTTTAAAGTCTTATGGTACTACTAACACTAACATATAGCACTTAAAACAATTCCATAAAAAAAATAATTAAATAATTAAAGAATCCAATAAAAATTCCCAAATATTTTTCTAAAATTGATAAACAATGAACTCATCGGGATAGGACAATATCAATAAAACTTTTATAATTGGTAAAATGTTATTTTATCCAGGGACTCTATAAAATTAATACCGATTTTACATTTTCTAAATTATTCATCAAACAATATAAGGCTTAAGCCTATAGCGTTCGATATATTTTGTTTATAATGCAATTTTATATTTTATTTTCGTATTCGGCGTCCATAAATGTCGGACGGGTTGTTTTATAATTATTAAAAATAGAGCCGGGGTTAAATGGTTTTCATATTATTGTTTACATCATTTTGATGATCGCGTTTTAATTTGAAAATATGAATATTTATAACCACTTTGGTAAAATAAATAGTTTTTTCTAAAGAGAATGTCCTTTAAAGTTAACGGTGTACCTTATAATTGATTGGCAATTTCTTCTTCTTCAAGTGCCTTATCCTTCCTCTATACGTACGTTGGCAATCATCAGATCAGCGCTATCTGTACTTTGTCGACTGTTTTTGTGATAGACTTGTCGTGGTTTCGCTATACCAGTGACGCAAATTCTTTAGCCGAGATATTTTTCGACCTTCAGGGCCTTCGATTATTCCCTCGATTATGAGCTTGAGAAGTAGGTATTTGTCCGAAGTACTCTAACTTTCGCTTTTTAAGCGTAAACATAACACATTCTTGTTACACATCTTCATTGTGCACTCTGTCCGTCCTAGATATTTTGCCTAGCCTTTTACACATGGCATCTGTCAGAGTCCACGCTTCAATCCCATAGTAGAGAATACTGAAGACGTAGCAACGTAGTACTCGAGTGCGAACGGATAGCGAGAGACCTCGACTACCCAACACGGACTTCATTTTTACAAATGATGCTCTGGCTTGTTCAATCCTGGCACGAACCTTCTGCATGTTATCCCAGTATTCATTAACCTGACATCCTAGGTATCTGTATGAATGGACCCGATCGATCTGTCGGTTCTGGTATCTGAAAAATAAGTACCTCCTCCAACCTGGTTCGTACTCTTCACCATCCATTTAGTTTTTTTGGCGTTTAATTTTTATCCAAGTCCTCCACTTTTAGTAGCCAAATATGATTTTTGAAGTCCTTCCAGAGAATCAGCGATTAAAACCGTATCGCATACCGAAGATGTTTACGCCGTTGATAGAAATTCCCTCAGTGCAGTCTTCTGATGCTTCTTCAAATATTTTGTTCGAATTATTAAAGAGAAATGGTGAAAGGATGGAACCCTGCCGGACACCACTTTTTATCCGTACTTCGTCAGACATTTGTTAAATTGTTGGTCTATCTTGGTTTGTACAGACTGATTCCAGTAGAGATTTGCGATTATCTCTATCATCTAGGCCTACATCCTTGAGAATTTTCAGAACTTTCTGATGTTGTACCCTGTCAAACGCTTTCTCATAGTCTACGAAGCATGCATATGCAGAAACAGAAACATATCAAATCGAATCAAAATATGCTTTATTGTTATGTAAGGACATTTTTCTTGTGAACAAAGCTTAAAAATAATAATAATAATTAAGAAGTGATATAAAACTAACACAAATGGTAAAATTATTATTAAACAATCTACAAAATGATCCATCCGCTCAACAAGACAAGGTACAACACTATTATATAGGTACGATAAAATGGAATTGACTCAGTTAACTTGGATTATGCGATTTGAATAAATAATTTTTGAATGAGTTTGCATTCTATTTCTTTGGCATGTTAGGAATAATAACAAAACGCATCACAGACAAACAAACATTTAATATATAAAATGAACACAAAAGTGGAAAGTAACTTGAATTAAATAGGAACGTTAGAATGCTATTTATCTAGGGAATCGCGAAGCTCTGCTTCCGCCTGGAGCAGACGAACCATAGCTAATCTGGCTTCAGCATTCGCGGCTTCCATCCGCTTTTCGTGCAACTCCCGTTGCTGGTCAATGCCGTCTCTCACTTTTTTTAATTTGCAGCTGAATTAACTCGTCGTTACAGCTACATGTGCGCTTGGATCGCATTCGCCTGTTAGACGGATGGAGTGCTTTTTGATCAATGGGTGCTGAGGTAAGCTGTTCAGGCACAACCTTCATAGATGCACCTGCTGAAGGCTGACATAGTAGCACAGCTTCATTTAAAACACAATTCAGAAAAGCTGCCTATTTGAGTATTCAATTATGAATTGCATACCCTCTGACTGGCTGCTTTCATCATTCAGTGGGGACAGTGGGGTTCGGTTATCCATCACTGCATCATTGCCCTTTGTAGCTAACGGACTTAACAAATCTAAAAATACAGCAATAAACGATTTTCATTTAAGTAACATTCAACCTATGCACGAACTTTTTTTTTCGAAAACAGCTGTGCTGTCCCAGTCGTTCCCCAACTCAACATCTATTGCTGGAAAAGCACTCCCCGCAAAATCCGTAACGGGATCAGTAATGACCTCCTTAGGAGAACCACCTCCCGTTAACAACCTGTTTTGTCGGGCTAATGTATTCTGCTGCCTTTTTCTAAAACATTCCAGACACAGCTGTACTGCATATTTCTTCACAGAACAATATCGTTATACTTACTTCTGTTTTATATTGTCCCAACACTTTTTTAATTGTTTCACACTTTTAGTTGGAAAGCCCTGGCTACAATAGGAACATTGAATTTTATCCCAAGCAGCGTGTTTCTTCTTCAATGATACAGCGTCTGTTTTTTTATTTTCAGCTATTACCCTGTGTTGAGCGATCTGGACCAGGAACATTTTTTCGGTCTCAGTATACTTTGTCGCCATAATTTTGCACATAAATTTCACACGAAAAATTACAGTTTCTAGAGCTATCTGACCTTTTTCTCATAGAATTATATATTATCAATGACAACTTAATGACAATAACAATAGACATTTCGTAGAAACCGTTGTTGCCAGTTGCAAAACCTAAAACGAGGCTTCCTTCAATAAGGATGCTTTAACTCGCTACTATGAAATGCCAAAGTCGCAAACCACGAAGGCGTCGTTATTCAAGGCGACCTTCAAGTCGCAAGGGGTCCTTAACTTGAGATGTGACTGAGAATACGGGCCTGCTCGACAATATCAGTTCCTTGTAAAAAAACGTTTCAGAAACAAAAGGGTATGTTGGAGATATCTCAGAAGATCCACCTGGGAAGTAAAATTTGATGTTAAAGTATTAGCAATAGAGCAGAAAAATGTGTTCAGAGCACTAGGATCCAAATTTGAGTTATTTAGATGTGGATGATGGACTCTGCCTGTCAAGTTATTGACTATTTTCCAGCTTTCTCTTGATTTATTGGGTGCTTTTGAGATGCATTCAGAGTAATATATTTCCTTTCTAAGTTTTAAAACTCGTCGATAAATTCTCCTATAGTTATAGAAATAGGTTTCAAAAAATGCGTTGTTGGCATGCATATTCCTTGACGAAACCCTCAGTTATCCATGATTTACTAAGTAACTAAGTTTCTGCCTTATAGTTCGGATTGGAAAGTGCGTATCAAACAAACGTTGTAAGGTATTCTGTAAAGCACCAATTGGTTCGTCATTCGTCATCAAACTCTACCAATCAAAATTTTCAGCCACAGTTCTAAAATTTGTAAAGTTTTTAGCGCTGTAGATTCTACCCTTTTTTTTGCCTTTCTTAGGTACTCTTTTTCCCCAATTCAAGGGTAAATTCACAAATATGGCCTCGTTGTCTGACAATCCGGAAGCAATTACTGATGCAGAAATTGGCTTCTGACT